AATAAATTATTGTTTTATTTAAAAAATACTAAATACAATTTAATTTTTCAGGCAAATTTGCCTGGAATACAGTTTAAGAAATAGGTATAACATCTAGTATAAAACTGAATACATTTATTTATCTATCAATATTATCAACACATGATTAATGAATTTTAAAGAATTAGAATTAAGATGAAGTTAAAAGAATAGTTTATATAAATAAAATTGCTTTTCTGACATTTGTAATTAATACTCCAAGATAGATTTAGACTGCTGTTTTTTATATTTTTATATTTTTCTCTTGTTTCACTTTGTTTTGCATCAGGCTGATCTGAAATGATCAAAATTTCTCTATTTAATTGGTCAATTATTATGTGCTAATAGGTAAATAGATGTACATATGTAGAATCCTAAAACAAATTACTTAAATAGGCAACCAAAAGTTGTATATGTAACTAGTTATATTCTCATCTTTGTATAAAAATAGTTGTAATAACTAACTTCAACAATGTTAATAAAGTTTTATCACAAAGTATAACCTTTAACACAAAAAAAAAATCAAAAAAAATCAAAATTAACATGTTATAGAAAAAAACTTGCTGAAGCAGAGATGCACAAAATTATTAATTCTTCAACTGTTGAAAAGATATTTAAAAAAACATCCATGTATAAAAAATATTTTAACCCTAATTAGATTTTGATTATTATATTTAAATCAAATAAAACTTTTTTTTTAATATTAAAGTAATGGTCTTGAAGAGTAATAATAATATTGTTGATTCTGATGAATTGCCTTATGCTGAAATAGAACAAGAATCTTTAGTAATTGATAATATTATAGATTTGATATAAAATTATTTAGAAGAAAAAACTCATGTCTCTAATCAGGACTGAGTCTAGCAAATAATAATAAATAATAAAATTCAAGAAGCCAGTTTTTCCTTTATAATAATAAATATCAAAATTAGCCAGTCATTACAGTTCTTTTACAGCTTTTTCCGAAACCTTTTCAATCTCATTCTAAAAATCAAAGAGGTTTCGGGAAACGAGCAAATTTTAGATGTCCCAGAATTTATGAAAGCTGGTTTAATAAATTTTGGAACAACTGAAAAATTTTCAATGTCCGAATCAATAAGTTATGAAGTTGGAATCTATCGGCCAAAATCAGCAATTTGTTCATTTATCCCAAAATTTATGAAAACAGCTGAAGATTCCCAACATTCTGAATCAAAAGTGCTTAACAGATTTATAATACATTTTTTTTTACGGAGTAAAATACCATTAAGCCACAAGCACGAACATACAAGCACCTAAAATTAATGTTGTCACGGCCGTTTGGCTCGGCATTGGCCATGGCCAATGGTCAATTTTTTTTAAAAAAAAAACCGAATTATTTAGTCGAAATGACTAAATATTTGTATAAAAATGCTAGTATTATGAGTGGCTAATATTATATAAGTTAGATACCTTTGGCCTGTTGGCCAATTTGCCGGCTAAAGGCTAAAAAAAATTGGTTGCCCACAAAAAATTGCCACTGCCTAAAATAATATACCTTCTGGTTATAGACAGGTTAAGTTTCTTATGTTTTTTATATCGATATAGGTTATGATAATGTGACCTTAAACTGTTAAACAAGGTTTGATTATAACTAGTGTGATTATAGCCAAGGCTGCTGTCTCATCAATCCTGAATTTGGTTTTATGGTAAAGTAAAAAAATATCTCATATGTAAATGCACTTTTTGACATTGTACCTGTATTAGTTCAAAGGAGCTGTCTCACCATTCGCTCTATCATAACATCACAACTACATGTAATAATTTCAAAACGTAAATTGGCGTAACTTTCAGATTAAATCTTTATAAATTTTATTACTATAATAATTAGGTCTTAACAAAAAGTGGATACAAAATAGTATTTACGGATTCCTAATACAGAGCACAAGTCTATTTTATAACTACATCTTGCACTTCATTAACATACACATCTTAATATACGATTCTTGTCAATATGTTTGCCTTAGCTGAGCTTATAGTATCATAAATCTTACGAATATCATGCTCGTCAACATCAGAAATATCGGCCATCATATAAGCAATTTCTCCTCGTGAATCTGAATATTGCTTCTCCACATTGTGGTCGGAAAGAATTTGATTGATTTCCTATGATATATAATTAACATTAATATATTGGATTTCTACCAAAATCATGTATCAATAAAGTAACTAGACATACTTTGAGCACACCAGGAACATTTTGATGAGCGAAAAGAACACGAATTGAATTTTTTTCCGTATCCTGAATAGCACGGAGGTCAATCTCAGGGAAATTAACCGCGCCAATCGAAGTACCGTAATTTATGTATTTGAAAAGCGCGGTTGCTACTTCAGTTCCGATCATTTGTTGTGCTTCTTCGGTGGAACCACCTATAACAATTGTAAAAATAAAATAAATAAATAATACTTTATTAGAAAATCCAAATAATTTAGATTATATTTACCGATATGCGGTGACAATATCAAATTTTTGCATTTTAAAAGTTCTGTTGTCCAGGAATTTAACTCATCATTAAAGTTTTGACCATTGGACCTAGGTTCACGTGGATAAACGTCAATTGCTGCGCCTCGTAGGTGTCCACTTTGCAATCCTTTTATTAAGGCTGGAACATGAACAACAGTGCCGCGAGATGCATTTATTAAATAACTGCTTTTCTTCATCTTGCTAATTTCAGTATCTCCTATCATATTTTTTGTGTCTTCAGTTTCAGGAACATGCAGACTGACAAAATCTGCCCGTTCCAAAAGTTCATGAAGCGTACTAACTTGTTTGGCAGTTCCCAAAGGCATGAGTTGGACGATATCGTAGAAATACACTGTCATTCCCATAGATTCCGCGAGAACAGATAATTGAGATCCAATGTGACCATAACCAATAATCCCTATTAAAAATAAAATTAAGCTTGCGAGCACTTTAAATTGACCTTACGTAGAGTTTGGAACCGGTTTTGTTTTTCATATGGTAAACCCGATTAAAACCGGTTTTAATACATGAAAAATAAACCCGGTTCCAAACTCTATAATCTTAAGCATAATGGCAGTTACCAAGTGTCTTTCCTCGAATTTCATAACAATTTGCCGAAACTTTATTCCAAATTCCTTGATGCATCTCATTATTACGATCACCCAATTGTCTAGACAAAAATATAATCTCTGCAATTACCAATTCTGCAACACTTCTACTGTTGCTAAAAGGAGAATTGAAGACAGCAATACCCTGTCTAGCAGCAGCTTCTAGATCGACTTGATTTGTTCCGATACAGAAACATCCAATTACCAAGAGTTTTTTTGCTTCCGCTAGAACTTTGCTTGTTAGTTTAGTTTTGGATCGGATTCCAATGCAATGAACTTCCCGAATTTTTTCTATGAGGACATCTTCAGGAAGAGATTTTGAATGTGCTTCCACCTTTTTTTACAAAAAAAAAACGCGAAAACTTGTAAGCTAGTAATATAAATCAGATTATGATCCATTTACAAAAAAATAATTATATTATCCCATAAAAATGCGCACTTGATATCCTTCACCAGATAAAATTTCGATGGCAGCTTGGTTTATGTTTTCCAACAGTAAGATTTTTATATCACCGGAATCAAACGGCTTAAGCGCCTTCGCATGAGAAAACGTGAAAGACGACGATCGCTTTAAACTCGGCTGTGAGCTTAAAGGCTGATATTGGTTTATTTGTCCTTGAGTCATTGTCGTTTCTTTCAGTTCGAGAATGAGATCTTTAAATGAAAAATTTTATCCATCATTTATTGATATTAAGTTGCCTATTTTGTATAATTTGTTTTTAACGATTATCTAAAGATTATTAATCAATTAACACATGATATCTGAAAAAGTTTTTTGCGTATCGGGTGTCTATCGCTATCGACATATTCTATATTTTAATTTATTATGAAGCGTTCTAAGGCTTATATTCGGCTTAGCGATCTTATTACGATTATCCAAATTTTCTGTGTTTCTGGTTATAATATTGACATGTATGCAAAATTCGAATGACACTTTATGACTACTTTAAGCTATATATTAAAAAGATCAAAAATTTTGCATTTATCGATCCCACGATTCTGAGACCGAAAATATCCGATCTGAATATAAGCAACCTCTTCACTTTAGTCCAAATTTTTTTTGCGGGTATGCACATTTTGGGCTTGAACAGTAAACTTAGCATCGCCCCACAAAAAATATAGTCTACTTCATAATTAAAGGCAATGATAACATTTAAATTCTTTTATTTATTTATTTTTACTAAGAATGACAACGGCGACAAATGTTTTTAATATGCATAACCGATTCGATGTTTTCCTTGGATCATGGGGAACCCCATTAATAAAACTGATTATTAATCACTTCATATCAGCTGATCTTTGCAATTGTACTAAAATAGATGTAATTTGACATTTGTTTAACTTTAGATATACTAGCTCGTTTTGAAGATTTTACTACCAAAGTGTTCGTCTCGGTGAGATGAATCTAATAAGCCCAAATTCGTTATAATCCAATCATTGGATCATGAGATCATTAAGGTTTTTTTTACAGGATGGCACATCTATAATGTGGGTTTCATTGGTTAGACCGCGTCTAACCAATAAAACCCACATCATATGAGGCCTTTAGATTTGAAAATGTGAGTGATGTGGTAAATATAAAAAAAAAAAAAGTATGTATATAGTAAAAGCATTAAAATTCTAGTACAGTAAGACCTCCATAAGTGCACCCCCTCGGGACCATAGTCAAAAAAAAATCAAAACGTGCACTTAAAGAGGTAGTGCATTTATAGAGAGAAAAATCTATAATTCTCTTATAAGTTGGGGCCAAGTTATGTCGTGCATTTAGAGAGAATTTACATAGTGAGTGCACTTATAGAGTGTGCACTTAGAGAGGTCTTACTGTAATACTAATAGTAAGATTAGTCTTACTTGGTAGATACTGCATCTGAAAATAAATTAGTTCTAAGCTAAAGTTATCAGTTATATACAATAGCTGTATTGTAATTATTAGTTATTTAATTAATAAAAGATTTATAACAAAAATATTATATTAAGAGAAAGAAAAAAATCAATAAAATTATATATATATATATGTATTTTCTTAGGTGACTTTTTTGGTTTTTTAACTTTATTAATATTTTAAATAACATATTCATATGGAACTACTACAAAAAAAGTATATAACTAGTTACATATATAATTTTTTTATATTATCTATTTAAGAAATCCATCTAAAGGTTTTTTATTTTTTATTTTTTTTTTAAATATTCTTGTGATCTAGGATTTTATTGATAGTATATTTGGCTAATGGTTGCATTCCAATCACAGAAGGCAATCATGGAAAGAGTATACAACTAGTCACTTATACAATTTTAGTTATTATCTAATTTAAGTATATAGTTTATTCAAAGGTTTTATACTAGCTGTCATATCTGAAACCTGCTTGTAGATTTTCTATTTAAATACTCTGATTCCTATATTTACTCATTTATCTCTGTCTACTAATGATCTAGTTAATGTTGATAAAAATATATTATAGTTACTAAGTTTTTAAAGTAGTTCACTTATATAAGGAATCTTTAACCTTGTACTAAATCTTCTAGAATCTTCTGTATCTTATTTTTACAGTTAATTTAGTATTATTATAACTAAGATCAATATTAGTAGTTAGAGTATATCATTAAATTACTATGTCTTTGTAGAGTTTATTTCAATCTTAGTACTGACTTTACTATATATCTCTACTACTTTGATATTTAAATTAAGTTCTATTAAGCTCTTAACCAGATAGTCTAGAAAGATAAATATTTTTTATTTATATAATCTTTTGATATATATTTTTTTCTTTCAAAATCTGGAAATTCCAGTAATTTGTACAGGTCAAATAAATAAATAAAGTGTGAATAATAGATAAATAACAGAAAAAAAATCTGTCATTATTCTACTCTATATTTGTTAAATAATAACAGTATAATAGTAGCATAACAGTAAAATAACAATAAAATAATAGAAGGTTTGTTAATATGAATAATATAATAGTAACATAATAGCAAAATAATAGAATAGTTTTATTATTTTACCTTTAGTCACAAAGACTAAAAATAAAATAATAAAACTGTTCTATTATTTTACTATTATGTTACTATTATATTACTCATATTGACAAACCTCTTATTATTTTACTATTATTCTACTGTTATGCTACTATTATGCTGCTATTATTTGGTAGATATAAGGTAGAATAATGGCAAATTTTTTTTTTGTTATTTACCTATTATTTATCTTTTATTTATTCATTTATTCTGTATTGGTTGGTTCATCTAGCCCTTTTCTAAAAATCATTACATTTGTTCAGTTTTACAGATTATATAAGCTATTTTATAGGCTAGTTTTATAATAATACTATTAAAAGTTCAGGATATCTTTTTATTCAGGTCTTTCAAGTAGATTTTTGTTTTTTGTCTGATTTCTATGATTTATATACAGATTAAATAAATAAATAAAAGATGAATAATAAGTAAATAACAGAAAAAAAATCTGCCATTATTTTACCCTATATTTGTCAAATAATGATAGTATAATAGTAGCATAATAGCAAAATAACAGTAAAATAACAGGAGATTTGTTGATATAAGTAACATAATAGTAACATAATAGCAAAATAATAGAACAGTTCTATAATTTTACTTTTAGTCTTTGTAACTAAAAGTAAAATAATAGAACTGTTCTATTATTTTGCTATTATGTTACTATTATGTTACTTATATCAACAAACCTCCTGTTATTTTACTATTATCTGCTATTATGCTGCTGTTATGCTGCCATTATTTGACAGATATAGAGTAGAATAATGGCAGATTTTTTTTTCTGTCATTTACCTATTATTCACTTTTTATTTATTCGTTTAACCTGTGATATGACCTAAGAACTTATCATAGGTTTACATTATCTGGTACCAGTTTGTATTCTTTTATACAATATTGTATGAATGCCTAGACCTTCTAGTTATGCTAATATAACATAGATTATAAGTATCTAATCTTAACTAATCACAAAAAACATTTAACTATAATATAAAAAGAATTACAAATTTTTACTGTTACTGGAATTTGAACTCTAGACCTACTACTTAGAATTAATAATCTGTCTATTTCATTAGGTTATTTAAAGATTTTTTATTAATTGTTATATCTAATACCTTTGTTTAAATATTTTAAATTTTTTAATCTTGCATTTTTGTATTAACTTTACTAAGTCAAGTTTAGATTTTTTAACTCAATTTTAGGATTAATTTATCTTTAAGATAAAGTTTTTAGAACTTTTTATATTTTTATTTACAACTAACTTAGTATTATTATAATTAGAATTAATACTTGTAGTTAAGATTAATTATTAAATTATTATACTTTTGTAGAGTTTATACAATCTTAGTACTTTATTTTATAACATTATTAATGTTTTGTTTATTCTTATAAGTTTTTTTATATTACTAATTTAGTAAGTTCTATATAATATAATTTTATTTTTAGATTAATTAATAGTTAAGTTAATAAATTTTTTTTATCTAAGAGTTATTGCTTATATAGGTTATTTGTTTTAGGTTTCAAGATTTTTACAGATAATACTATTAAAAATTGTATTACCTCTATTTAAGATTTTCAAACAGAGTTCTTATAAAATATATATTTTTTAAATTTATTCATATAATATTACATATTTTTAAAATTAATCTTGATATAACTAGAATTATAATATTATAACTTTAAATACTTTGTTTAAATTATTAAAATAAGATTATTTTTTGGGTGTGGGTCTCATAGCTTAGCAGTTAAGTTCTCATATTCTTTATAGTCAAGGTCAACAGTTCAAGTCTAACTAGAAACAAAATTGAAAGATTTTAGCTTTTATAATCTAATAAAGAGCCTATAATTGAATATAAAGCTTTGTGGTTAAGTCCAAGTGCAATACAATAATGAAAACAGGAATTTTCAGAAGAAGACCCAATCATGAAGTGCAGGCATTATGTGTAACAAGTAGTTGTTACAAAAAGTTATAGTTATGAAACGATTGTATATATAAGTCCTTTAGACTAAGGCAGCACCAACATTCTTATACCTCCTAATATAAGCAGTCCAACATTCCTGCATTCAACTTATAGAGTACTTGCTTGGAAAGATAATCAATAGATTGTGCAAATAAGTCTTAATTAGGATTCAAGAAGAAGATTTGATTGGAAGAATATTCTGAAAATAACCAAGCCTGAAATAGTAATAAAAGCAATGAACATGAGGATAGACTATGATAAAGGATTGGTCTAACCAAAAATTAAAAGCATCTTTGATGTAGCCAAATAATCTAATTATAGAAGAAAAAATCTTGGAGGTTGGTGTATAACTTATTTGTATAATATAAAAGTACCAAATTGAATTCTTGGTCATATTTATATAAAAGTTTATAATAAACAAGACTGTGATTAACCAACCAATATAAGATAAAATTTGCAAGGTAGTATAGTATTATTGAGGTTAGTGTAACTCCTTAGAGTATAACCAAAATTGTCCTGCAAGTATTATTAAATAAGCTGAAAGCTTGCAATATATAGTAGTATAATATTACTGGGATCAAAGAAACTCTCTAAATATAACCAGAATTGTTCTGTTTGTAAGTGCAACAAGTCTTAGTCTCTATTATAAAAAGAAGCAC